TGTCATTCATAGGACATCCTGTATCCCTTATAGCATCCTTGCTGGTAGCTTGTAAATGTTGGCATTTACAGATGAGGAAAAGAAGGCTCAGTGTGGTTAGCATAGATTGATCATTATGTACCTGGTAAGAATTTATATAACACTTTGAGATATTAGGCTAATATTTTTAGCCCAAGGTGATCACAGAAGAAAAGCTTGTTGCCTGAGTTGACGGTCCATTCAGAGATGGGTGAAGACTGGGTCTCAAGCTGCCTCTCCCTTCAAGCTACCCTCAGCCCTGGGACCTACCCCATGGCTTCCGGGGCTTGGCTCTTAGTGTTTGGTCCCTGGCAGGCTTATACCAGCCCCTCAGAAATCCTGTCCCTCTGGGATGGATGGTGGGAGCCGTGAGCAGATCTCCAGCACTAGGGACATTTGCCATCACCTCTCCATCTTTGCCACCTTCCCTCTTCCCAGTCTTAGAGGATCCCCTTTCTTCCCCAGGGAGCTTCATTCCTTCGCTCCAACTCCAAGTGTCCTCTCCCTATTTCCTGTTCCTGCCCTCCGATGCCCCTCTCCACCGCAGCTGTGAAGTAAGGTAGAAGTTGTTCCATCACCACGTTATTCCCCCATAATAGGGAAAGGTTAGCGGTCAGCTGCAAATCATTTGTGGGCTAAAGCAGCAAATGAATGGATACATGAATGAATGAATGAAAAGATGCATAATAATAGAAATAAGATCTTTTGAGCACAAAATAAAATAAAATTCCTGGAATGGCAAAGTTGTGGATGAAGGCTTAGAGCTGGACTGAGTGTGGCATATATACAAGGGAGAGGAGGCAGCTGCTCTGTTGGATGGAAGGAGCATGTGTGCAGGGACAGAAACCTGCCAGAAAGTTCTTGCACCAGCCTTGGGAGGAGGTGCAGGGGCCCAGACCAGTAGGCGGCAGTAGAAATAAAAAGGAAAGAACAGATGCAAGTGGCTGTGAAGAAGAAATGGCAAGGTTTGGAAACACACTGAAGTGGAAATGGATGAGACAGAGGAGTCAGAGATGGCTCTTGTCAGCAGAAATTGGAAATTTAGGAGATAAAGTTTGCAGGTACTGGAAGGAACGCGAGTTTTCAGCATGCAGTGGTTGTGGAATATCTGGATGGAAATGTCTGCCAGGAAATGGAAATTGAGGACTAGAATCTGGGCAGAAAGTCAGGACAGGTGGTCCTCACCAGAGGCCAAATGCATCCTCTAGGAAGTGATGGAAGAAGCTGGGGAGTGGGTGACATTTTTGAGGTCTTTACTGATAAACGTATGAGCCTACCTAGTGTTCTCCAAGAACTGCACCTGACGTTTCACCTCTGGCATGCATCAGAGAAAGGGGATGGGGGAGGGGAGGGGCCTGTTGTCATCATACTGTTATGACAGGTCTCAGCCCTTCAGTTTATGGTGGTGACACCCAAATGCTCCAGCACCAGGAGATGAGAAAGCGGGTTCTTGCAGGAGGGGAATAAAACTGACATTTACCCAGCCCTCAGCTCATGTCAGGCCTGGCCTTAATGCCATTAAGTGGTGAATAAGTGGCCCTGTCAGGTGGGCTTGTGCAGAACCCACATCAGGCAGTGCCTGCCATCTCTCTGCTTTAGTCTCACGGTTCTTCTCCCTGTAATGCTGACCTCTGGCTTTCGTGATTAAGTTTTACTCAACCTTTCCAAGCTTCCTTGGTTCGCTGGATCACAAAACCTTCCGTGAGCTCCCCTGGTTGGAATGAATTCCAGTCTCTCAGCAATCCCACAGTCCCTAAGCTGAGGCCACTTATTTAGTATTTACAACTCTATAAAGCAGGGCATAATAAGACATGAGAATTCAACAGACTGTGGCCTGCGTGAAACAGTTCCTCTGTTTGTTGTATGAAAGATTGAGATTGGCATCATTTGACGGCCTCTCTTATGAAAAAACAGTCTCCCAGTGCTGACGGATGACTCAGGCTGCTGGGGGTATGGTCAGAGCTTTTCTCAGCGTGTCTGTAGTTTGCCTGGCAGATGCAGGGGCATCTTTAACACTTAGATAAGCTCAGGGTTGGGAGGGGACATCCAGTCCAGCTGCCCACACACATGAATAAGCGTCATGCCCGCCTGGCGGTCATTTGGTCCTAAATAAGCTTGTTCAGTGCTGGTGAAAGAAAACACTAGATGGATGGTCGGGGGCGGATGAAGAGGGATGAACACGATTTTGCCTTTCCCATTGATTACTCATTCTGCATCTGAGAAGATTGGTCAAATTATGCTGTCATAAGAAACAACTCCCAAATCTCAGTAGCTTAAAACAACACAAGTGTCTTTCTTACTCACACTGAGTCCATCGCCGGTTGCTGGGGGGGGCCTCTCTCTTCACTTATAGTTTCAGGATGATGGAGTAGCCCCCACCGTAAATGCGTTTTCTTACATCAGAGCGGAGAGAGAGACTCTGGAGCACTTTGCCTTGGCGAGTAACAACTCCAGCATTCTCTCTGCATCATTTCTGCTCAGAGCCCGTGGGCCCCACCCAGCAATGGGTTTCTGAGCAGTGCAGTCTTCCTGGGTTCCCCAAGGCAGGGTGTGGAAGTGTGTGGAGGGCAGCAGCAATGCCCACGGCGCAGCCCCGTGCAGAGGGCTGGCTGATTTTCATTCGGTCTGGGGAGGGATAAGTTCCCTACATCTCCCACAGCGTCGCGACAGGGACAGGCTGGGGAAGGAGGAGGGAACCCGTGTGTGTCCGCACAGGGCACCATCGCTCCTGAACGTCTCCCTGGATGAAGTGGAGAAGCGTCTCCCACTTGTAAGGATCCTGTTCCGTGATAGGAAGAGGCAACTGGGAGAAGCCACTCAGAAGAGCAGGATGAATTCTGTAGCTTTTTTCCCACCCCCCAACAGGCTAGGGACCTCTGGAACCAGCTGGCCTCTATTAAGCAGTTTTCCTCAGCACGGTGACAGTGACGAATCCTCCCAGCTCAGAAGGTTGCAGCCACCACGATAAATCAAGCCCCGAAGAGGAAAGAGGCCATGGTGATTAATGGTGGGACCTGAAATCCAAGCTGTAATCAGTCAGATTTGTCACTGGAGTCGGAGACGGGGACGGTGTTATCGTGGATGATTCAGGCCCAGAGTGGCTGTCTCTAAACATGTTAATTACCTTGGCATAAGTTGCCGAAACTGCTGATTAAAAAATGTAGAGATGTGCATAGCAGAAGTCGCAGCCACCGCCTCCAGGACTGGCACGCCCAGCTCTGAGGACGGGGCTTTCTCTTTAGTGGGAGGAGGTGTGGTGGTGCCTTGACCAGGTGTGGGTGGGCTTCTAAGGATGGCTCTGAGATCCTGGGAGGAGAAATGATAGGGACACATCCCCTTCCTTGCCAGGTGGTTGAGGCTCACAGGGGCTGGCTGTTCCCAGTTCACCCACGGAGGTCTCTGGAATGACGGCGCTTGTATGCAGGGTGACTGTCTGAGAATTCTGAGGCATGGGTCAAGGCAATTCATTCTTCATCAGACTTTAAAGAAGATGTCACTTACTTACAAAATGCATTTCTTACATGTATTTATCTTTAATGTGTGTCTCCCTCTGTATCTGTCATCTGGGGCAGACAACTCATCTGACTAAAGTGGGAGATGAATGGTGTTCTGTACCCAGATGCGACAGCGTGAGGCAGTGTTTCCCACCCAGAACCACAGGCTGCATCCCTAACGCCAGCCAGCCAGGCTGCAATCTGCACTTGGTCAGTTTGATTCGTTTCATCGCATATTTGTTACCACTCTTAAGTGCCAGGTACTGTGCAAAGCACTTTCTAAATGGACATGAGAAAACAATAGAGCTTGGCCGAGATGGCTTATGGAAGAGTGGAGTAGATCCGCGTGTGCTGGGAGGGGGCAGTGGATAATGACTCCACGATGGATAGGTTATGGAAGGTACCCTAGACGAGGGTAGGAAGTGTGCTGTGGGGCTCAGAGTTGCAGGGTGGGGTGGGCTGGGGTGAGGCGCGATAGGGTGGGCAGAGCCTTCATTAGGAAGTGGCATTTGAGATGGGCCTTGAAGGATGGTTAGGAAGATTTTGCTCGGAGGACCAAAGCATTCATGGTGGTCTAAGCAATACACAGAGGCTATACCCCCCATCACATACATATATATATATTCCTATATAACTTGGAAAGATGGGACATTTGCGTCTGAGTCTTCAGATTTTCTTACTACTGGCCTAGGGACCAAATTTTTCCTTTACAATCATTTTGATTTCTATGACAGCTTTGATTTCTGTTAAGATGTAAACAGCCTTGGGAGGGCATCACAGTCATTTTAAGCTCTTTTTACCCACGTATGCCTGTGTGGGTAGATGGGGTGGGGAGCTTAGCCTTCCTGCTGGTCACCTTCCACCATCTGACCCTTCTTGGTCTGGGCTGGTTTCTTTCCCATTCCTCCAGATGCCACACTTTCCCTCTTTTATTATGACTACGTGTTCTTTCTCTGGGGTTCCTCTTGATCCACTCACCATCATGCAAACAAAATGCTGTTTCTCAATTTTTTCCCGACCCTCCTGTATTTGAAATAAACGCACATACTCACTTAGGTTGGTGAGTTTCTGCAGGAAGATATGGAGGCGCTAGAAAAACAAGAATGACAGAATCACTGGAAACCCCACCAGTATTTCTCCTCGTGGGTCCTGGGTCAGGTCAGACATCTCAGGGGCTGGACAGCCTCCTCTAGTCTTCCCAGTGGTCATCCATGGGTGACCCCCAGAAGCAAGTGCAGTATTCTGGTAAGTAGGGTGCCGGAGCCTGTGTCCATTTGAGCTTGAGTATAAAGCATGACTCCAGGACCACAGGGAGGAGAACTGGGCAGAAATGGATCGGTTGGGGGCAGTGAGTCTGTGCTGCTGCAGGGAGCGCCTTTGTGTCACCAGCGTGATGGAGGCAGTGTCTGGGGAGAAGTCAGCTGCTGTAGAGGCAGGAGTGGCTTTTCCTCCCTTTAACTCTGGCCTGTGTCTCTGCTCCCTCTTCAGCTGGTGCTGCCAGAATACTCCATCCACAGCCTCTTCTGCATCATGTTCCTGTGCGCTCAGGAGTGGCTCACCCTGGGCCTGAATGTCCCTCTGCTTTTCTATCACTTCTGGAGGTAAGTCTGCCTGGGGCCGGTCTGTCCTTCCTCTTTTCTGCCTGGGCAGTCTGCCCTCCAGAGATGATGTCCCCCAAACAGACCAGCCACCCAGGGCCTTCCTCGCATCCCTTCCTTTTGGGGACTTTCTCCCTAGAGCCTTCTTTCCAAGCTGCTCTCGGACAGCAGTCCAATAAGGCCAGGCCTTTCTCATAGCCTCCAATAACTGCAGCCTCGACCCTCATGGGTCAGTGTTAAAAGCAGCTGCAGCATTATTCGCAATAGCCAAATGGTGGAGACAACTCAAATGTTCATCAGCAGATGAGTGGATGAACAAAATGCGGTCCATCCATATAATGGAATGTTATTTGTAAAAAACACAATGAAGTTCTGATACATGCTACAATGTGGATGAACCTTGAAAAAATTACGAGTAAAAGAGGCCGGTCACCAAAGGCCATTTACATGAAACATCCAGAATAGGCAAATCTATAGAGATGGAAAATAGATTGATGGTTGCCAAGGGCCAGAAGGGAGGGGGAGTGGGGAGTGACTACTAATGGGTACAAGGTTTTCTTTTTAGGGTGATGAAAATGTTCTGAAATTAGATACTGGTGGTGGTTGTACAACTCTATGAATATGCTAAAAACTACTGAATGTATACTTTAAAAAGGTGAATTTTTTTCTTATGTGAATTATATGTTAATTAAAAAGAAGAAACCTACCAGATGGGCTGGATTTTCTGGGCCAGTTCTGATTTTATATAGTCTGTTCCCTGCTAAGACTGTGCCTCAGATCATGTGATTTGGGCTTTTTGTAAAATATAGTCACCATATGGATGTAGGAGGCAGGGAGCGGGAAATACAAGGGTAGTAAAGAATGCAGTTATGCAAATAAACTAACCACCCTTTACCCCTGCTCCCAGAGCTTTGGTCCCCAAACATTCCATCATTGTCATTTTACCATAGAATATAGCCTGTATTTCATCACGTCTAGAACATCCACTCCTTCGTTTAGGAAACATATAGAGCACACACTACATGCCAGACATGGTGAGGGATTCCAAGGTGAACGTAAGATATAATCATTACCCTCCAGGAACATACACCCTAGTGGCAGAGGGAAAGATATTCTTAACAGAAATATGAGCAATGTATGTAGGAGTGTGGAGAAATGAGCATTGAAATTAGGTGGGAAGAGTGACACTGGAAAATCTGGACAAGCACACTCCAGGTTGAAGGACTAGCATATGCAAAGGCTCAGAGGTACGAGAGCACATGGTGTGTCTGGAGAACAGCAGCTGTGCAGTGTGGCTGGAGGTAGCGGTCTTGGAGGGATATGAGCAGAGATGGGGTTGACAGACAGCTGGGGATCCGTACGGAGGGTCTGAAATGATTTGATGGGGAATTAATTTATTCTCTAGGGAATGGACGGCTCTCAGAAGCTTTTGAGGAGGAGAATGGCATTACCAGATCTGGTTTTTAGGAAGGTGATGCTGGCAGCTGTGGGAAGGATGGATTGGAGGGTGAAATTTTGAGGAGGAAATCCGATTAGGAGGTTATGATGAAATTCCCGGTGAAGAGATGATGGAGGTTTGAACTGGGTGGTGGAAGTTGGAATGGAGAGAGAAGGGGACAATCCGTGGAGGTAAACTGGGGGTGGCCTTGGCCAATAATTGGGTGCAGGAGGTGAGGGAGAAAGAGTCTGTAAGCTGAGCACCTGGGAGAGTGAAGGTGCCATTGGCCAAGAGCAGGAGGAGAGGAGAATTCGCAGGTTTAGGGATGAAGGAAAATGAGTCAGTTGCATAAGAAAGTCCCGCGTATGTTAAAGGTAACCCACTAAAGTCTGGACTTAGAGAGAAGTCAGATAGAAGCATCGTGGTGTTGAAATGTATTGCATACCCACTCAAGACTTTCCGTGCCTTACCTCATCCAGTATCCACAACATCTGGGTGAGTCAGGGTTCCTTTTCCGTTTTACACATGGGGACACAGTGACTCACAAAGGTTAGGTCACTGCCCCGGAGTCATTCAGCTAGGACATGGCAGGGCCAGGCTTTGGTCCCACGTCTGTATGGATCATAGTCCACATCCTTGTCCCCTGGCATGCCACCCTGGGGGCCGGCCCTTCTCCCTATAAAAGGAATTTATCCCCAGGTTCCTCAAATAGTGTGCTGTCAAGCCAGGGTATCGAAAACGTGGTGAATTTCCAGAACTTTGGTTGATGCACTGCTCCTTAGGGCTGTCGCTCTTCCAGAGGGAGGAAAGGGAGAGCCAGCCCGGGTCCTTACGTTTGGCAAGTTTACGTTTGTTTAGGAAGAGAGTGACTGCAGTCTCCTTGCCAGTAGGGACTTCGTCTTACTTTTTTTGAATCCCTGACAGGGTCTAGCCTAGTTCCTGGCAATTTGTAAGTGCTCAGAAGATGAAAGAGAAAGGAATGAGGAGGGAGGGGTCCTTTACACACCGGAGTCCCTGAACACCTTCTTTCTTCCCTTCTCCCTCCCCACCACAGCAGGTCCAGTCCAGGGACGCTTGTCACGCACGTGAAGCTGCCTTCTGCTCTAGCTCTCAGTTTGCTTAAATAAAACTGGAATTGCCTGCCATTTATCTGGTGCCTGTTCTTTGCAGATGATTTGCATCCATCAGCTCCCATAATCGTCACAACAGCCCTTTGGCGTAGGCAATTTCATCCCATTTTATAGATGAGAAAGTTGAGGCTCAGAGAGGTTAGTGACTGACCCGAGGAAAGTCAGTCTGGTGACCCGTGTGCGGCAGATCCCTGGCTTTTTCCACTGAGCCGCGTGGTCCCCTGCCCCATCCCCTGCCTCCACTTAATAGGTCACCTGGGAACAAGGCCACAGCCAAGGCAAATAGGTTTTGAAATCTGCCCCTGGGAAGAGGAGAGGTGAGTGGCCTGGAGGGCTCTGAGCTGGCAGGTGTCATTGAATCTGGCTTGTGCCTTCCTCTCGGCAGTGTCGGTGACAGATCCTGTCAGGGTGCTCCTAAGAAGAGGAAGCAAGAGGGAACTGAAACCCCAGCTCGGGGAGTTGCTCCGTCCCAGGGATGTTCTTCAAAGCAGTGTGAATAATCGGGGCCTTGCTCACCATCCAGAACCACAGCCTGTCCCAGAGGCTCACAGGGCCATTAATTTGCACGCTGGCTCCTGATTCCTCTACCAGGATGACAAAAAAGCAGCCCGCTGAGTGATTTCAGCCCGGCTTTGTTCTTTAGCTTCGAATGAGGCTGTGGCCCAGGGCCCGGGGCCAGTGTCCTGTTGAGGGCCAGAGGATGGTCCGAGGACAGCACTCGCTTCCTGCCAGACCACTTTCAAAGGGCCTCCGCCCCAGGTCTCCCCCAGCCTGAGAGCTGCTGTCGGCTTGTGAACATGGAGCCCACGTGATGTCTGAAGCAGGCAGTTTGCCTCAGCCTCCCTCCTAACCTCCCCCTCCCCCTTCCTCTCTCCCCCCTCCTCCTCCTCCCTCCTCCCTTCCTCCTCTTCCCTCCCCCTTCTCCCCTTCTCCCTGCTCCCTCCTCTCTTCCACCTGCTGTCTTTGGCTTACCCAGTTTCCCCCCAGGGCTGCTCTTGCCCTGCAATGGCCGCTGCTGTTCTTTCTGCTGTTCTGGGTCCTTCTATCAAGAAGAAAAGTACCTGTGAACTACTCCACACTCCAGTGAGAATATGATGTCCCTTCCAGAATACTCAGAATTTTAAAAGAAGGTCTGGGAGGGGACAATATTTATCCAAAGTAATTAATGTTTAGGGCAGAACTGTGGTCCGGTGGCATCTGGCAGTGGAGATGCAGCTCTCTGTCTCCCCACACCTGTGCCTACACTGGAGCCGCTATGGACACACATGGCGGACTCCCGTTCCCCCGGAGAAAGGAGGCTCTTCCCGTTGTCTCCCAGGTGCCACCAGGTGCCACCTCTCCCTTCTGTCGGGGTAGCTGTGGATGCGGTGGATCTGAGTATTGGGGGAGTTGCTATCTGCTGGAAGATGGCAGCTGGGCTGCTCTGTGGCAGTGTCCGGGCCATGTACAGGCAGGGATGCGGGCAGAAGGCAGACAACGGCTCAGGAGAGATTCCTCAGGGGGAGTCCGGCATCAGGAGGCCTTGGCCCCGACATCTTCAGGTGTCCCTTCCAAAGCTCAGAGCTGATGACGCTGTGTGCTCTTTCCCTGCAGGTATTTCCACTGTCCGGCAGATAGTTCTGAACTAGCTTACGACCCGCCGGTGGTCATGAACGCGGACACCTTGAGTTACTGTCAGAAGGAGGCCTGGTGTAAGCTGGCCTTCTATCTCCTCTCGTTCTTCTACTACCTTTACTGGTGAGTTGCTGCCCCTCCTGGTGGATTTGACTCCTGCAACCAATGGAGGGAACTTCAGGCCGGCCTCTTGGTCTTTGGGAGATGGCTCATCTATCGGGGATGAGCCCAGCTGCCTGACTCTGGTTTGGGAGCAAGGGCTTCTGTATGAGGGACTAGGAGGCCTCACCTGCTGACAGGTGCATCCTTAGGGCCACACGGTGAAAACACATTCTGCCCACACCTCTCAGGACGTTACTGGTGCATGTGGTCCTGTGTCCCCATGGGCCTCCGGCCTCTAGCAACTCAGCCAATCAGGTGGCCTGTGGCCTCATTGCCCCCTGCCCCCTCGCCTGTGTGTAAGCATTCTTGGGGACCGTAACAGAAACCTCCGGCGGCAGTCATGATTCACAAAGGGGGCATGTTGGGTCATTAAATGCTTATGCTTACAATTCTCCTACTGTTTCATAACACCACCCTAATTAAGTAAAACGTGCTGACTTTGCAATTCCATTTCAGGAATCTCCTGTCTTTTCACCTCTCTACTCAGGACATCCTAGCTAAGCAGATAGTTGTAAACAGCGTGTCTTGTGGTTTGATACCCCAGAGAGTGCTTTTTCCAGAAACGTCTCCTCCTCCTTTCTCTTCTTCTTTGGGCTTCTCTCTGGGGCATCTCACCTGTCGCCTTGCTCTCCTGTCGCTACCTGTGGCAGGGCATGGAGATCTCCCAGTATCCCGGTGTGGTCTCCAAAGGGCCTGGTCGACAGCAGCGAGTGAGACAGAGGGAGGTGGGGGGGCGTGAGGGAGGCCACCTCAGGGTTCGGTGGGCTGGGGCGGGCTGAGCGGTGGCTGCCTTTGTCCAGCATTTAAAAAGGAGCCAGGCTTTGGGCTAAGAGCTTGACGTGTGTTTCTCAGTTTACGAGCGAAACGCTATCACTACCCACGTATTAACGATGAGGACCCGGAATCTGAGATAATTAGATAATTCTCCCACGGTCACAGAATATAGTGTCACAGCTGTAAGTCCATCTCAAATCTGACCCAAAAGACTGAGCTTTTAACTGCTGGCTATCTTAGGAAACCTCTAGGAAATTCTTCATCCAAATGTGGTCTTTGGACTTCTTGCATCAGACCCATCTTAAAAATACAGATTTCTAGGCTGGGCCGGTGGTGTAGTGGTTAAGTTTGTGCATTCCACTTTGGTGGCCCCGGGTTTGCGGGTTCAGATCCCAGGTATGGACCTGCACACCGCTCACCAAGCCATGCTGTGGCGGCGTCCCACATACAAAGTGGAGGAGGACTGGTGCGCAGATGTTAGCTAAGCGACAGTCTTCCTCACTAAACAAACGAAAAAACGCAGATTGCTGGGCTTCCATCTGCTGATTCGGAATTTCGGGGCTGGGTGTCAGCCAGTTCTGATGCTCACCTGAGGGTGGGTCCTGCTGCCCAGGTGCTGCTTGGTTCTGCCTCGTCTCCCCTCCACATCCCCAGCATCCAGAAGGCTCGGAGACCCTGGAGGTACAGCTTCCCTTGGAGCGACTCAGCCTTCGAGGGGATTCAGAGTTATTCTGCCACGTTCGTCTTGGACTCAATGGTTGATCCAGGCTCAGGGTGACCTCTACCCTCCTCCTCCTTGATAGAGTGTCCTGGAACATCCCCTCCTTCAACTTCAAGTTGCTTGAAGCCTCTCTGGAGATTTCCGAGGTGCCCCACAGGTTCACCCAAGTCTTTCTGACTCCACGTCTGAACTCTATCAACTAGAGCTGGCTCCAGCTGGTTCCTGTCGGGAAACCTCTAGAGGGTGGCCCAGGCCCTCCTGGCTTAGCGACTCGGCCCCTGGGTTGACATGGAGGTTAGATTTCTTTGCTGGAGTGTACTCAACTCCTTTCTTTGTGGGGCTGCAACAGCCTCTGCTGCAGAGTTGTAGGCTGAGTGGCCTGTCCCCAGAGGCAGCACTGTCCCTTCTCAAAGCCAGCAGAACAAGGGTAGTGCTCCTTCCCCGTTAGCCTGGGATCCCCCTTGCTCTGCATGGGAACCGAGGCATATCAAGCTCCATCATTTTAGTTTTGTTGCGGTAACTGCTGGAGCCCGTTGTGGGAAAGAACACAGAAAATCGCAGACAGGGGCCTGCCTGGTGGCGCAGCAAAGTTTGCGCGTTTTGCCTCTCAGCAGCCCGGGGTTCGCCGGTTCGGATCCTAGGTGCGGACATGGCACCGCTTGGCAAAAGCCATGCTGTGGTAGGCGTCCCACGTATAAAGCAGAGGAAGATGGGCATGGGTGAGTTAGCTCAGGGATAATCTTCCTCAAAAAAAAAAAATAAAGAAATTTTCAGACAGAGAGCAAAGCCGCTCTCAGTCTGCTGGGCTGCAGGGACAGGAGGGAGTGGGGTGGGGTGGGGTGGCGTTGGCGGCTCCTGCCGCTTAGATGGGCATGATCGTTCTGTAACGGATGATGTTCCAGACGTTCTGTTTGACTGTCTGTCCCGGAGATCCTTGGTTCAGTTTGGCCCTGCTTCATGTTACATTCGGTAATTACTTTGTTTCCAGAACAAAATTGGAAACAACTTCTCCTGCCCCGCTGGGACCCTGGGTGGCTGCCTGCGTTCCACATTCTTTGTTGAACCTGACCTCTTGTGGCTCTTCAGGGCCCCTGAAAGACCCTGCTTCTCCCGCCACAGGAGCTCCTAGTCCCTCAGGTCCAGAGCAGGTGGAGGGCGCAGGACCGTCAGCCCAAGCCCCTCCTAGGGAGGGGAGGGGGCGCTCGTGTATGGAGAGCTGCGTCTGGGCTGAGCACAGTGATGGAGACTCAAGTGACAGAAGCTGGGAACCTGTAAAGGGGGGGGTTGGCGTTTCACGGTTCGAGCTTCCTGAAGGATTAAGAGATGTGTCCCAGGTCCTAGCTGGTAGTTAGCAGTTTATCTGGCCTCAGAGCCTGGGCTCTTCCCATGGTGCTGTGCTAACCATCCCACCCTGGGGCACCCCCCTTCTCGGGTTGCCTTGTGCACCAGATGTTTGCGGGTTACACGGGATGGGGACTAGCTAACATTAATACTGACACTGACGCCAGTGGGTCAGTCCAGTGTGAGCTCCCTCTGCCTGCTCCGTATAAAGATCTTTTCACATCAAGGGTGTGAAGCAGCTGGTCTTACCTACCAACAGGAGCACCGCCCTCCTGCCCATTACTTTGGGTCGTGCCTGCCTCCCCTCCCACATATTTCTCTCACTCTATATGATGTTATTCATGGCGGATTTGATGGCAAAGACCTTCTCTGTTTCATGCTTTCCATGTGTGCACCACCCTGGCTGATGCCTGGCACACAGTAGGTACTCACTAAATCCTTGTTTGTTGTTCAGCCTGGCCATACGCACCCTCAAGGCAGGGATGGGGGCTGCGTGCTCACCCTCATTTCCTGGCACTGAGAATGGTGCCTGACATGCAGGAGGTGCTCAATAAATAATGAATGAATGAATGAGTGAATGAATGAAGTGAGTAAACAGGCATCCACGCTGAAGCTCAGTGTTATAATGGAAAGAGCATAGCTTTGGCCTTGGGATGTGGCTGTGTGACCTCAAGCAATCCCCTTCTCTCCTGACCCCTGACTTCCCCGTGTTGAATAAGACCCCTCCAGCTCCAGGCCTGACCAGCGATGCTCTGTGAACATGAGGTCCAGCAGGTTCTCAAAGACGGAACTCCGGCTGCTCGGAAGAGCTCGTCAGCTTCACAGCTGGATAGGGTTAGAAGTCAAACACTTGAGTTGTCTTCCTTTGGTTTTGTTTCTTAGATTATCCGTTTTCCCCTCTATAATGTGAAAAGGTGACTGTTTTCCTTTCTGCCAAATAGGCAAAGTGGTCCGTTTTGGTGTTGAACGTTCCTCGGCCTTGCAGAATTAGCCTGCTGTTTCTGAGAGCCCGGGGACGCGTGGCCCCCTCCTTGGGAGTGTCAAGGCCCTGCCGTAGGATACTTCATTCGTGTTTAATGCCTGGATTCTGTGCGAAACGGGAGGGCCAGGGAGGTACCCAATTAAGAATTCATGTAGTTCATGTGTTCGCACATCGGTCCTCGCAATAGCGATGACGATCGTTTCCCCAGTGCTCACACATTATCCAGGATAATCTGGGAGCCTCTGGACACGGCCATCACATAAGCATGTAGCAGCTGGTGGGGTAAAGAATCCACTGCACCCCACCCCCCGCCCAAACCTGCCCTGCAATTGCAGAAAAGAGGAAAAGCAACCATGATAATCATCCTGATGAGAAGAACGATAGGCGCTTAGAGCAATCACGTCTTAATATGCTCTCGTCCCAAAGGTTTAGGCCAACGTTGTGGGAAGCAGGAGGGGGCCAGAAGGAGGAGCAGATGAGTTGCTCTCGTGGCAGGAATGAGAAAGAAGCCAAGGGTCCGGCTTTTGGATGGTCCCTTTTTTGGGGGCCAGTCTGAGTCCTTCTTGGGCTCCCACTCATGCCTTCTTTTTCCTCTTCTTTTGCCTTCAGCATGATCTACACTTTAGTGAGCTCTTAACTCAAAGACCACACACGTCATCCGAGACTGGGATGGGAGAGGCACGAGACTGCGAGTCTACTTCTGCCGGTGACTGGAGAAGGGACCAGAGCGGGATGTGTGAGGAAGACCCGGCAGACACCCCGAGGGACTCAGGACTGGAATCACGCAGCAGCCGGCGGGCCGAGTTAACCGTGCGCGTGTTGTGACCCTGTGTGTCACAGTCTTTGGCCTTCGTATCCCACAGCCAGGTTGTTGATCCCTTCTGAGCGATAAGGGCCCGGAGGAGTGGGTGACGAAACACTAAACTCCTGAGCAAGAGTGGCTGCTTCCTGAATCCACGTCATCGAACAGCTCCCTGCAAGTTCACACTGAGTTCCTGGACTGTGGAGGGGAGGCTGGAAGGTGTCTGCTGAGGAACAGACTGACCCAGGGTCAAGGCTGAGTCTGTGGGACCCGTTGAAGGCCTCGAGGATGCTGTGGGCTCTTCTTGTGTCTCTTCCAAGCCCTGGCCAGGCCCTTCAGCCCGGCGGGAGGGGCTGGAAGGTGTGTGGTGGGCTTTCTGCTGTCCTGGCCCTGAGCCCGCAGCCCTGTCTGTTTTCACGCTGTGCTGTGTGGAGCCCCGCTTAGCCCCGGAGCTGCGTTTGGGGCAGTGTGTTGGGAGAGAGTTCTGTTCAGAGTCACGTGAATGGGGGGTGTCCTGGGGAGGGGGAGTCATAGGAAAATGATTTTTTTTAAATGTTTCCTACCTGTTCAAAGTGTTAGTTCTTTACCACAACCAAGTGTGTTCTTGCCGCTCAAAGCCATCGCGGAGTCATTGAAAGCAAATCAATTGGTCATCTCTAGTCTGTGAAGCTACCTTCTTTTAAGGATCCTAAAGCAGTTCCCAGGCTGGAAAGTGCTGGCGTGTCTGCTCCCAACTGTGGGCATCCGACAGCCAAGAAGCGAGACAGCATAATCGAGCTTCATTCTATGATGCTGCATCAGCCGTACTGTTTAGTTTAATGCCAGGACATTAGCTTATTGAGAATGTTCCATTTGACGTTCTCTCCTTTTTTGGGTAGGAGTCGTGCTGAGGGGTTGTAAATAATGACAAGGCTGAGATTTTTATCGTGTTTAAATTGGGCACAGTGATTTTGACCTGATTCTCCAAACCTCCCTTCCTTTCTTCCGTGTGACAGCCACAGGCTATTTATACATGTACCCCGCTTCCGTCCGAACCCTGTGACTCAGGTTTATGAATGGTGTTTGTGTAACAGTCGTGTGCTATGTTTAAAACGCCACAACATCTGCAGTGTTTCACCTACCTGGCTGTCTCATTTAAACCCCGTTACGGGCTGGTTTCATCTCCATATGGGTGGTAAACTGGTAGGTAGAAAAAGCAAAGTTTCAAAAAGGCATTTTGCTTCTAAAAATTCTACAGAAAACAAAATGCAGACTTCGGCTGTGAGGGCAAGATGGAAAGCGGAGGATTTGAGGCGAGGTATTCGGGAGCAGGCGACCCCTTCCCCATGGTCCCGCTGGCTGACTGGGGTGGGAGGGGACAGTTCCTAGCAGGGCTGGGTGGCCTCGTCTGTGACTCCATTCCTGAGAGCACCAGTTACCTTCCTCCAGGGAAGCCAGCCCTGGGGTCCAGGCTGCAGACAGCAAATCTCACCTCACCACTGTCTTGCAAATGCCACCGAATGGAGAGGGTGAATGGGCTGCGTTACTTCTCGCCATGAAGCTGCTTTGTTTGTTGTTTTAGATTTTGCTTCCTTTCTAAAAGATTTGAAGTGGCTTATAATAGCAGACACAAGTACAGAAAGACTGTTAACATGGAGATAGGAAATTCAAGCTTATTAAGGAGGAGGCCGCAGAGATACCGATGTCCCGAACGACTCTATTTCCTGTGATGGAGCTTTAAATTTGGCATCCTTTCTCTAGCAGGAAATATCAGGAATTCACGTTTACGTAGTCCTTGACATTTTACATCTTTCTCATGTTCTCATTTGACCCTCCTCACAACCCTATGAAGTTGATACTTCTCTTTTTCCCAAGTGAGGAAGCTGAGGCTCCGAGAGGGTAAGTGACTTGGCTATAGTCACACAGCAGTCACAGACCTACCTTTGAACACAGCTCATCTGACTTTAAAAACGCCACGTCCTCTGCATCACACCTACAAGCTGGCAGAGTAGCAGGGTCCTGGTAAGGTTTGGTCAGTAGCATTAACTTTTTGAGAAAAGGAGATTTTGAAAATAGGAGCTGTAGAGGAAGTGCCTGGTTTCCTTGCCCTGTGTGCACCAGCCTCAGACTTGCTTTAGTGTGGAAGGTGGGCCTCTGAAAGCTTTTACAAGCTGCAGGTGCCTCTTAGGTGGTTCTTATGTTTATGAAAGAGAAGCGTCAAACATTTCCCTCCCACAAGTTGTGCTGGGAGATCATTCCAGGGGTCTGTTGGGAGTCTGAGCCGATTTTTAATTCCTGGGAGAAGCTGATCGTGATAAGAATGAGAGTCATGGGCACACCTGGGGGAGCCTGTGTTGTGTGCCAGGCTTTATGCCACGACCTGTCAGCCCTCACGTGGCTCCTATGAAGCAGGCTGCATGTGTCTGTTCCCCCTTTACAGATGAGGAAGTGAGGGGCACTCGTGGAAGGTGAGCCCTCCCTGGGTGAACTAGCCAGAGCAGGAGATCAGTGCTGCGAATAAGTAACCAGATAATAACAAGAGCTGTAAGTTGAGGTGTCCAGCGTTATTCTAAATTCTTCAAGTGCTTCTGTGTGATCCTCATAAGGACACCGTGAGGTCGATATTATCTCTGTTTTATAGATGCAGAAACTGCGAGAAGGTGAGTCACTATCCAGGACCCACAGCTCGTAAGGGGGATGCATAGCCATGGTTGGAATTTAAGCCCAGGTCTGCCTCTTCTCACAGCATCCGCCTGCTGCAAAATCTTTGTCTCTCCTTGTTTCTCGTGCAGAAATGATCAGAGAGCGGAGGGGAGTGAAGCAGGAGGAACGGCACCCTGGAGAAATCACAAAGTGAATGTCTCCCGTGGTGATGGGGAGCACTCCCTATGAAGCACGAGGTTGGGCACACGGAGAGTTTCTCAGGGGGCACAGACGCCACGTGGAGGTGGTGGTGGTGGCGGCCTGGGTCCTAGTTCCTTAGAGAGGCAGAGTCGTAGGCCTGGCGTGGCTGTGCCCCGGGGGTCAGATGGGGGGGGGGGAGTCACCTGAGCTTCCTTTTCTCTTTACTAAGTGAAGCGAATAATGGTGCCCACTGTACTGGCTTGTTGTCAAGACTAAAGGAGCTCATATTTGCCAAGAGCCTGGGAGGGTGCCCCGGACGTGGGGAGCACCACCTAACGCTTCGGAGGGGCGAGTCTCCCTGGGCGCCCTGACCCTGCCCTGTGCGCATCCAGGGCAAGGTCCTCCGAAAGGCGGGGAGTCAACTGGCCATGCGGGAAGGGAAGATTCCCGGACCCAGCTGCCCTTCTGAGGCCCGTTCCCGTCTGTAGTCCCGGGGCTGGAGGTCAGGCTGTGACCTGATGTGGCCACCTTTTGATGCCGTGGTCTCTAACCAGTGCTGATAACAACTGCTGTCGAATGCTTGCCGCGTGCCAGGCTCTGTGCAGAGCACTTGACAAGCACGGTCTCGTTTAATCCCCACAACACTGTTATGAAGTCGGAACTATTACCGTCCCCAATTTACAGCTGAAATACTAAAGCTTATAGCAGTTAAACAAGTGAGCCAAGGTCACGATCGCTAGTGCATCGTGGAAGCTGGACTGCCACCCAAGTCTATTTTTGCTCTGGGGCCTGGACCACTTTTGCCTTCCTGGGAGGTGATGCAGCATAGGGAGGGCAGCGGGATGTGAGAAGGAAGAGAAAAGGGGATGAAGGAGCGGCAGCGGGGGAGCCGTCCCAGAGGTGTGGCTCTGCCCACCTTGCGGGTTTCACAGCAAGCGACTCAGTGTAAATGACTTTGTAATCGGAAGGATTTGAGCTGCGGGATGTTATGCAAGCTTCTTAACCTTTCTGAGACTCAGCTTTCTCATCTGCAAAATGGGGATAATAATACCTCCCTTTCAGCGTGGTTGTGATAATCGAGGTAAACTATGTACAGAGAGCCTGTCTCGTAATGGGCGCCCCGCAAATCTCGGTGCTCAGTGCCCCACTCCACTGCCCCTCCCTTCACAGAGTTGAAGGGAGGATTGTGTAGAATAAAATGCTAAAAGGCTGCTCATAGTAGCACGTGGCAACATTCAATGAATCTTCGCTTCCTTCCTCTCCTCCCTTGATCCTGGGGGCGGACTGTCCCAGGCATGTGACATGGGTAACAGAGCTCAGCCCTCTCAAGAAAATCTCCCTTTAGCTTCCTAATTTTAGGGCTTGGTGATTGCATCAATGTTGAATAATGTTGTCACCGTTATGACAGTTTTGTTCCCCTACATAAGAGACGAACGCAGCCAGCAAAATGCTTTGACAACAACTAATTGCGCTCACGCTGTGTCATCGCACAGATCCATTTCACAGCCCTTCCTTTTCTTGGGCTTGGGCTGCTCTATTCCAGACTGTGCTCTGGGAAGTGAGGTCCAGACCTCAGAGCTGCCTCTCCTCGCCAGATATCTTGGGGCTACTCATCTCCCGAGGCTTAGGCAGAGGCTATCATCCCTGTGGGTGTTTGGGGGCATCCTGGAAAGTGGCCTGTGACTTGCCTCTTCCCAGGCAGAGGGAAGAATGAGCTGAGCAGAGGAGTGATTCTCCAGGACACTACCCTGCATTTCTAAGGAATGATGGAGGCCTGTCTTAGCTTTGTCCTGGTCAGGAGCTGGAAGCAGGTCCCCTTGTTGCCGGGACCTCTGCGCGCTAATGGAAGTATTTTGTGCAGCTGCGGTTGTGGAGGCAGAAGACCTTAGTACTGACGCCTTGGGTTGCGTTTCACTTGTGGCCCGTGATCCAGAAATAGAAGCAGGGTCAATACAGCCACAAAAGAGTATCTTCCAGGCTTTGCCCCACCCTCTCCGTGATCGTTTCTGTTCCTGTTGGCTCTGCCCGGGTTCTCAGATCATTCTGCCCAGCTCGCTCTGGATGCCCCGGGAGCATCTTCCTGTGGTGGGAACTTGACCTCCAGGACACCATGTGATGCCCACATTTTCTTCCTTCCCAGCTGGTAGTGTGCCAGAGCTGGCTCGTACAGGCTTTTGAGAACCAACCGTTAAATTTCTTAGGGATTTTGCTAAACAGTTGTTAAACATAGCCATTATTAAAACTGGTTATGTAAGCTTACACTTTAATGAATTATGTTAAAACAATGGTAATAACGTCAGATCTCCTCACCTCCTAATTATTTTACTACATTTTACTCTTACCTATGCTCTAGAGGTTGTGTCTGTTGTAGCGTAGTGGAAATACTGTATGACAGCATGCCACTGTGCATCTCTTCCCCTCTGTGTTCAATGCTGTCCCATTAGTAGCTTGAAATTGGCCATGGTGGTAGTATTTACACCACAGGAATTGGCAAACGCTACAGTTTAGCTGCCTCCTTCTCCCTCCCCCCTCCCCCCGTGCTAGTTGTTAAAGATTTACTAGTACTCAGTGTTCACGTTTACTAGAACACACTGTTCCTAGCTGGGCCACCCTGCATGGCTGCACTGCAGAAGCCAGTGACCAAAGTGGCAGCTGGTGGCCAGTACCTCTGAGGGCTTGGGCACCAGAACCCGACGTTCAAGACCCTTCATGGCCGGATCTGCCACCCACCCCACAGCAGTGACACTAATGGTGCTCCCAATTATGTTCTTTTTGTGCCCCAGAGATGACGGGAAAGTAGCTTGTTAAGTTTCACGCACTTAAGTCACAAGGTCTTGGGCCTGGAGATAATGTCTGTGAAACCTACTGAGCATGGACATGCTTTTACGCTTCACTCTAGCCCCACTGCCCTTGAATTACTTGGGGACCGTCATTCTTCCTGAAGGATGGGTCCCTTCCCAGGAGGCTTCCCGGGCCCTCATGCGCTGGGCCCACGCTCTTGTCTGAGTGCTGGAGTGGGCTGCACTCTGCTGCTTACCCGCCTCTTTAGGTGGTCTTGGTGATGAGTCAGGCAATGTCTGCGAAGGGCCTAGTGCTGTGCTTTGCACACAGTGTAAGCTCAGTCGCCACTGCTCCTTTCTCTGCTCATCCTTTCTCTGCTCAGCTTGGCAGGCTGTTCGCTACATGGGTGTCCCCCTCCCTTGCCAGCCTTACGGGCGCCATCCCTTTACATGCGCTCTCTCCCCCAGGCAAACAGTCTTCTCTCTGGGCCCCAGGTACCGCAGGGGGCAGACACACACCTTTTGGTTTAGAGACGCCACCATCCGAGGAGGTTGTTTTGTTTCCTGGAGTGTGACGACCTGGCAGCCAGCGGAGAGAGCCCTAAATGCCTTGGCAGAGTTTTTGTTCAAACGTCATTGGGGTCTGAGCAGTAAACCCTGTCCTTTTCGGAAATGCTTGGCCCGTCAGAAAAACAACACCTGTGTGGTCGGAATAGGTTTCTGAGATTTTCCAGCAGGGGAAGTAGGGAAAATGAGAAGCCAGTTAAATGCCAGTCCCCACATTAAATTATAGTGAAATGCGTCAGTCCGGCCCCCATGCCTGGGACAGTCCGTTGGGATTAGAACGGAAACAGCAGGGCAGCCCTCTCAGCCTGGGGGGAAACGTTGTCAGTTAGTGGCGTCAGAAAACAGGTCTTGTGACGCTGTTCTTGGTTTCCCGTCGCTAAATTGAGAGTAAGTTTGATATTGAGGGAACTTTCTAGACTCTGCAAGGTACAGAGAGCCCTGTCAGTGAGACAGAGACCAAGCAGATGGGCCAGATCCCCAAGGAGTGGCTCGGAACCCTGCACCCTTGGCAACCGGTCTGTAAAATCAGCACTTCTTGTGTTTACCTAATATCTCATGATTGGCTTCAAACAGCTATGCCCAGACATCTAGCACTTACCTAACGCTGTGCAGTGGAAAAATGAGCAGGAAGGACCTGGCTGCAGCTCCGGCAGTAACCACTTCTAGGTAAAAACAAGAAAATGAGGCCAGATCATGTTCTTCCTTTGAGGCACATGACGCCCAGGTCTGGGTTCCTGGGAAGCCCCCCATCATAGGTTTTCAGCCTCACAGTTTGGGGAAGCCCAGCCCACACCAGACCCAAATGTTCAGTGCCAGTTGGATGACGATACTTTCTAGGGAGGTAAATAGAGGGAGCTCAGGAGCTGGTTCATGGATCAGCATCGACCTGGAAGGTGGAAGGTCATCCCTGAATGGGACGCCATGGGGCTTTGCACTTAACCGTGTCCTGTTCAATGTTTATTATCAGTGACTTTCACCCGAAGGCGACTGATAACTCTGGGATGATACAAAGCTAGAAAGGATCAAATTAGGACAGGAAGAAGAGATTTTAAAAAAAAAAACAAAACACCATCCTCACTAGAGCAAATACAATACGCATAAGTGGAAGGTCTTGAGATTGGGCTCAAAAAGGCAGCAGGAAGATCTAGAAGGTGAAAGAGGCGGGGAGTGGTGACCAGTGATGGGGAGTGGGTTTTAACTAATGCTGAGCTGGTATTGAGCCAAGAGTGTGATCTGTCTGCCAAAAAGCTACAGCAGCTGTTGGGCCTCATTATAAAAAGTCTAAAATGAAGTGGTAGAAGATGGTCCTGGTGTCCTCGGCCCCTATCAGCTCTGTTTCCTATGTGGGACACTGCCACAGCATGGCTTGATGAGTGGTGTGTACGTCCACGCCTAGGATCTGAACCTGCGAACCACAGGCCGCCAGGGCAGAGCACATGAACTTAACCACTATGCCACCAGGCTGGCCCCTGCACCCCTGTAATTTAAGAGGGACACTGAGAAATTGAGTGTGCCCAGAAAGGGCATCTGGAGTCCATTTCATAGGACCGGGCAGAGGAGCTTCAAGAAGGCTGTCTTCAAAAGGTCGAAGGCTCCAAGAGCGCAGTGGGCAGGAATTGGGTGACAGTGGCTCTTCCCAGCCCCTTCTTTTTATAGGGTGTTGGAGCAGTCATTTCCCAGTGAGGGGTCTGGAGAGGTGTCAGGTGAAAGGAGTGTTCCGTGGTCAAACACCTGCGGAACTTGCCGGGCTCAACACGTCAGCAGGCTTTCCCAGCCCACCTCGGCAGGAATCTGTCAGTCACGAGCCTCAGGAGGGGTGACGGGTGGCAGGGCACTTTCTGTGAAATGCAGCAGGAGAGACTCAGAGGAGTGGGACAGAGCTCTCGGGGGGCGATGGTAGACTGAGACGAGTGCGTATTCTGAGATGGAATGGGTTCCGCATATGGAGCTAAGTATCGGAAGTAATGCGAAAAAGTTGGGCTTGCTCCAAATTGGACAACAGCTCTAATGAGAATTAATCCACGTAATTCCACTGCAGAACAAAATAGGAAGGACTGGATTCAGGATCCCAGAGATTATAAACTCTTTGAGGATGGGATTTTGTTTAGATAGTTCCAGAACTGGGCTTAGTCGTTAATAGGCCACAGTAAATACATGTTGGAGTAAATTGAATTTCGGATCCCTTTTGGAATCAGCAAGAGGCAGGGGTGCCTGCTGTAGTCAGTAGGCATCGGTGTCCTGTGAGGAATGTGGGAGGGATCTTAACACAATGCGGAGGCTTCGTGCAGTCCACGTCCTGGAGCCTTCTGGTTCCGTAGCAGTAAAACAGGCCAAGGCCCGTAGGGGGTGTCTGCAGACGGTTGTTTACTGCTGTGAAAACTCTCTGGGCTCCTTCTCCTCTGAATCACTGAAACATACAACTCCTAGACTCAAAGGGGCAAAGACGACGGGCTCTGCAGAGTCGGAGTGACCAACACTAAGCTCCATCACCTTTTGTACTCATAACAGTTTAGAAAACCTTGAGAAAAAAAAGCCAGGCCTTTGACTGCTGTTTGCTGGCCTGGGAGAGTCTGGCTCACGGAAGCAGCTGTGGGGAGTAATGTACAGGAAACCCCGAGTAGCTCCCCAGGCGCGGCGGAGGTGACTGACGGCTGGCCGTCACTGGCTCAGCTCTTGCACAGTGCTTCTGGCAGAAACAGGACCTTAGTGGCTCCCATCTTCCCACACACCCTTGGACGTTCTCCAAGCTGGGGCCGTGGAAGAGGGAGGGAGCCGGTGAGAGCTGAGTAAGTGGACAGTGAGAATGACTTTCACCTCAATCACGTCTGTAAGGTGGTCATTTGTTCGTGTCCAACTTTTTTGAGGTTGGTCAGCCTGGTCCCAAGGGAAGCA